TATAGGGGAGAGTCCGTGGACTGTTTCCCACCCAGAGATCTAGGGGAGAGCCCGTGGGCTGTCTCTCAGCTGGAGGACAGCTCACCTCCTCTTCTCGCTCTCCTGCTGGAAAGAAGAGGCTTAAGAGGTCTCTGTCCTCAGCATTTGTGGGAAGAGAGAAGAGGAAATGCGGTTTGTGCACAGGAAGACGGGGCCGTGCTGTAATGTGGACCGGCTGCTGGCACAGAGGCACCTGGTTGAGTCCCTGGCTTCGGGGGCTGGATGCTCAGTGTGGAGGAAGACCCTTCGGGTGTCTTCACTCAGAAGTGAGCCTTGAGCATCTCTGATGTGTCCGCTGCTTCCTTGTTTTGGAAATACACCAAAATCACAGGGCCTTGTCCCAGGGCTTGTGGATACCAGTACAGGACAGCATGATCAGAATTGGGTCACATCTGAAAGCTACGGCCGGACTTCTCTTTGTGACCTTGTATCTGGGGCTCTAGGTAATGTCAGCTCCTATATAACCTGCAGAGAACAAAGCCGGGACCATGATGGGGAGTACCGTATGATCTTCCCAGGCACACACCACATAAACGTATCTACACGCCATGACCACACCACATATATTTCAGATACACATATATCACCTTGACACAACGTATATTACATAACCCCACATGCACTACACATACACACGATGTACACCCATACATACTCACCTAACACATGTACACACATACGTACAGTCACAATGCGCACATACCATGTAGAACTACAGATCTCACACACACCACATGCATGTGTATCTCATACACCACATACACATTCATCATGCATACACGTTACACATACATGCACCACTTATACCACACACACACACACACTCTGTATACAGCATCCACACAGTGGAACTCTCTGGAGTCCAGGCCCTCACCTGTCCCCAGGCAGCAGAGGACTGTCCAGCTGAGGAGCCTGGAACCATCAGAGCTCAGGGAGGGTGGACGTGAGGGTCTGTTGGGCCGGGGCCTGTGTGCTCACGGGCACAGGAGGGATGTCCTTTCTTCACCAGACAGGTGACATCACTGTCCTCAGCCCCCAATCTGAGGAGCACATGATCATATTACAACGTGCCGGGGGACTGGCATTTATAAGCGCCCCCCACCATGCCTGTAAGAGCATCTTCCTCATCACTCGCCTCATCTGGGGCTCGTTCACTGTGACGCACCCACAGAACCTCGATTCTCAACACTGAGGGTCGAGCCTGTGGTCTAGATGTCTGTGTCTACACAGTCTCTCCACCCTCCATTGGGATTCAAGGCTGTAATCTGCACAGGAGATTATACCAGTCCTTCTCCCATGAAGCAGATGAACTTGAATTGCCAAGTTATCAGTCAGTAATCTGATAGTTAATGTATCCTATCTCCAAATCAAAAGTCTGGATGGGATGAAAGGAACTGACTTCAGAACACCAACCACTGGCATTCTTTCCTTTGACGGTGTCATGCAGGAAGATCCCGTAGAAACTCCCTTCTTGGCACTGTGCCCTGGAGGAAGTCACCGCTGGACCCTTCCTCACGCTCCAGCCCCAGCGCAGTGCCCACGAGTCCACGCCGTCTCATGGTGGCCGCGTGTCAGCGTGGCTGTGCTCTGTACTGGTCCAGTGGATGGTTTATCAGAAGCAGAACTCTAGACCAGTCTTCTGAGGCACCTCCACATGGCCACGAACCCCCAACCTTCCTGTTACAGCGGAGTGTGCTTTTCAGTTGCCAGGAGAGCCCACATGCAGATGTCACATGGTCCGGGACCCTAGGATGGTTCCAGCCAGAAAATGCACCTTTCTCGTTGTCTCCCCTCGTCACTGTCAGGGAAGTGGGGATACATGACCTGTGACCTTATCACTGCTGCACCGTGGGGTCTGGAGAGAAGATGCTGGTTCATTGACAGGTCTGCAGGGTGAGGTCAGGCACCCAGAGGGGCTGGAGGTACAGGATCCAGTGAGATTTCATCTGTTGGGTGGTCTCACCTCTGGGGACCACAGCTCCAGGAGCGAAACAGAGTCTTGAGTGTTAGCTCAGTATCATTCCATGAACACCATCCTGAACCCGTGTGGGCTCTTACTTGACATCCTTCTGAACGCGATGACGGAGGAGGCCTGTGTGAGCTCACTCAGCACTGTCTGTGCCCACCCACGCCCATCACACACGTGAGCGTCTGTCGGGTGTCAGAGGCCTCAGCTCTGCCGCCTGAGCTCAGCCTGGGGGCCCGCCCTGTCACTTCCTGAGCCGGGCGGGAGGTTTGTGCACTGGGCACTGGGGGCCCTGCAGGGCTGTGTCCTTGCTGCTGGCACAGAGGAACGTGGCCGTGTCCCCCAGCTCCAGGGCGCTCAGGTTCAGCTCCGAGCTGCTGTTAGTGAACTGTTGGCCCGAGAACCGTTCGGGGATGTTGCCTTTATCCCTCTCATCCCCGCTGTAATACTGAATGAGGAACTGGGGGCCCTGGCCCTGGGCCTGCTGGTACCAGAAAACAGAGAGATGCCCAGAGATGGGGGAGCAGCTCAGTGTCACCTTCTGTCCTGGTTGTTTGATCAGATATCTTGGCGTCTGCGTGACTCCAGAATCCACTGAGCCTGTGGAGAGGACAGAAGCTGAGGACAGAGCTCTGGGGACCTGGCTGTGTTCATTCTCAACCTGGGCTTGAACTCAGGTGCTGCGTCCATGGCTCACCTGCCCCCAGGAGGCATGTGACCACCCAGCAGAGGAGCCTGGAGACCATGTTCAGGAAGGAGCTCTCTCTGAGAATGGGGTGTCCAAGTAGAAACACCCCAAAGCTCTTCACCCTCTCTCCTCTGACAAGAACATTTGCAATGTCTCTGCTATGATGTCACTTCTGCTAAGCCACTCAGAGCCCTGTGAACTCAGGCAAGACCCTGGTTGGTGAACCTTTGCCTTCTGTCCTGCACAGCATGTTGGGTCTTTGTGGAGCACAGCTCAGTGTACCTCTTGCACTCTTTGTCTTCTCTCAGTATTTATACACCTCAGCCTGCCCTGTTCCTGTGCTGCTTCCCATCACCCAGACATTCTGCCAGCCATCCACACACATGCACACAGTACATGCAACACACAAGCATACAATGCATGTAATATATTCACACAGCACATTAAAATGCACCCTCCACTGAACACACAGCACACATACATGCGTACATGTTAACATACATACAGGGCACAAGCAGCATTCATTTACAAGCTCTGATTGCACATAAAAATACAGAGCAAACAACACACCAACACGTGAACACACCACACCACACACACTACACTCAGGGACACCATGCACAGAGCACTTGAGGTGTAGGTACACGCATGCAGTAAACACATGGCTTACATGACACACACAAGCACACAACACTCTGCACAGGTGCACATTGCACACTCTGCACACACGTGCACACAGCTCAAACCACAAGCAGCACACATGTCCACAGAGCATACAGCACGAGACACGCGTGCGTCCAGTGGACTCTATCATGACAGTGATGATGAATGTGACGCAGCAGAGGGCAGGGGCTCACAGAGACGACGCTGACTGCGCGGCCCTGACAACAACGATGATCAGAGGGCCCCTGCCCTGTCCACCTTCCCCACGTGTCCTTCCTAAATAAACTCCACCCAGATGAAGTTGACTTCCTAGAAGGAGGGGTAGCTGCCCATGTCACTCCTTTCTCTGTCTTGTCCACAAAGCACCAGGCAACTGGATTTGGGGTGAGCGTCAGCTGTGTGCCTCCCTCTGAAACACCCCATGGTTCCCTGGTCCTCATCCCCTGGAGAGTCAGGGGCGCCTGAGAAGGAGCCTGGGGCCTGGTTGGCTTCCTGCTGCTCTGTGGTTCCTGCTCAGGGCTCGAGTGGCTCCGCGGGGCTGTGTCTTTGCTGCTGGCACACAAGGTACACAGCCAAGTCCCTGGGCTGCAGGGCATCTACATGGAGCTCCAGGTGAGAGCTGTCCGGGCGGGCACTCCCAGGAGAAGCAGCTCGGGGACAGACTCACTGACAGAGAATTGCTTGTAGCTGAAATAGAACATGAGCCTTGGAGGCTTTCTGGGGGTGTGTTTATACCAGTACATGTGGTCACGTCCCAAACGCTGTTCATACTTCAGGGTCCGTCCTCTTGTTCCTCACGTCAATGACCAGGGACTTTGGTGTCTGGGTAATTCCAGTGTCTGCAGCATCTGTAGGACTTGGAGGGCAAAGTAAGCTGAAGGGAGAGTCTTATAAGGAGGTTTTGGGGTAAAGCTAGAAGGGAAGGACCGGACGTCCACCCGTGCCAGGACTCACGTGTCCCCAGGAGGCAGAGGACCACCCAGCAGAGGGACCCAGAGCCCAGGGTGGCTCTTACAGGATGGGCTGGCATCTCTCCCCTGAGGCTCTGGATGGGGGAAACAGAGTGCTGGACTCCCTAACCCTGAGGGGGCACCTGTGAAGTTCTATCCCTCAGTCCTCCTCTCTCTCTGCCCCTGCACAGCCCTGCAGGAGGTGGGACTGGACACCAGGCAGAGCTGACTGTGTAATAACAGGTGTGAAGACAGACACCTCTCCCCATCGGTGCTGCTGACTGCTGACTGCTTCTCCCTCATCCAGACTCCATGGCTCCCTCCTCCCTCTGTCTACCTCACAACACCTCCTTACAGGGCTGTGGTTGGGGCTCAGATGATAACTGACAGGTGGGTGTTTAGAACCCCCAGAGTCAGAGTGGGACAGAAGCCCGACCACCTGCTTCTGTAAAGATGCGCTGGGAGCCTTGCAGGCAGTGCTAGTTGCCAGCCGAGCCGTCGTTCAACCCCACTGCACCCCACTTCTCTGTAAAGGGTTTCGGTGGCTCAGATGCTGCCTGCTAACTGAAAGGTTAGCACTTCTAATCCACTCAGGGGCTTGTAGGGGAGAGGTCTGTCAATCAGCTCCTCTAGGGTCCCCACCTTGGCCCCCTCCCCAAGCCCACCCCTCCCATCCCCCATCAGCTCTAGCCCTCCCTTATCTTCCCCTCCCCCCACTCCTCTCCTCTCCTCTCCTCCCTTGGCCCCCCTCCTTCACCTTCTCAAGGTCCCCTCCCTCATCTTCTCCCTCCCCCTGCTTGCCCCGCCTCCTCCAGCATTAGGGTCTTTGGAAGAGCCAGAGCTCCCCCTTGGGGCCAGGTTGCGGTCCTGAACCCCATCTTGGAGTGCTTGGGGAGCCCAAGATAAACACAGGGCTGAGTAATGGGCAAGCTTTCAGGAGAAGAGCTCAGTGTTGCCACAAGAATCTAGTGCCTCTTACCAAAAAAAAAGGTCAAGATACTAACTGGAGCCAAATCAACCATTAGTCCAGGCACAAAGCTAAACAGTGGTCAAGGCCACTGTACCTCGTACATGAGAAGAGAGGTGACAAAGGCAGGTTAATTAAACACAAGCATGCTGTGGGTAACCTTGATCTTTACATTAAAAATAACATACAGGTAGCACTCACTCTCCTGCCAAAAAGGGAGTTCATTCCCCACCATTCATGGATCACGTTATGAGAGGACGCGGGACTGAAGAAGGGATGCACCTCTCACATACACACACCACAGCGTGTGAAAAAGGAGAAGTCAGTGACATTATCAAACCCAGAAATATTGAATACATTAAATGTCAACAAAAGTAAATGGTGCAATGTCCAGTCCAACTCTCTAGGTCCAGACAGAAAGATTCATGGTGTCTTAGAAGTGAAATGTATCTTACAAGTTTACACACGATAACATGAAGGTATCTTCTTCAGAAGTGTTCATTCACACCGTGTAAATCACAATCACACATGCATGCATACAGAGACATCCCGCACCCACTCTGCCTTGGAAGGAAAGATTCTGATGTCCCGCAAGGAGGTTTCTAAGACACAGCAATGCATGAGGCCTTGATTGTGAAAAACTCTAAAACTTGCCTTTTCCAGTAAGTATAGGGGCTCTGAAGCTTTAGGAGACGTCCAGGGAGAGACGGTGTCACACATAAGCACGTGATGCGTG